GAGAAAGGGAGAGCTGGAGGTTTAGCTTCAGGCCATGAAGAGGATTTTTTCTTGAATCTGGTGGGTAAAAATCACCCGATCCATTCCCAGTTGGATGCCAAGCACAGGATAGGTCCTGTGGAGATACTCAGGGAGTAAACTTATCCAGTTATTTGGAAGCAGTTTGACTTGGTTTGAAACAGTCAACAGGGTCCTTATACCATCTTGTTTGGGCTAGTGGTTAAAGCAAAAGCTAAAAAGAGGGAGATCATGAGTTCAAGTCCTACCTTAGCTATGAAAGCCAGCTGGGTGACTCTGGATCAGTCACTCTTTCTCAGTCCAGCCTACCACACAGGATTATTCATGACAGGAAAATAGGAGAAGAAAGTGGTTCTGAATATGTTCACTGCCTTGAATTATTTATAAAAATAATAAAGGTGGGATACAAAAAATAAAAAAAATAAATGGCCTATTACTGTGAATTAGATCCATGTCCTTCCTGGCAATGCTAATGTCCTTCCTAACCTTGAGTAATGGTGAATTCATTCTTGATGCAGAGGGTGTTCAAGTTGAAGCCCACATGTCTTAAAGTTGTTGAGGTTGGAATAGTGTCCTTTGTTTCTTCAAAACCTCTTTGTAGACCTCATACTAACATTTTAATGGCCTAACTGATCTAACTAGACACAGGATGTGTGATATCCAATTAAATACCTGGCTGCTAAATTCAACCCAGTGTATATTCTGATTACATAAGTGCATAGCCCATTTTTGCCTCAAGCACTACCAATAAATCAGTTGGTGCTTCAGTGTAATGTGTACTAGTCTCCAGATCAAATATACCTCTGAAAAAGTCTACTACACAAATAATATCAAAGGTTTTAAAGTAGTAGACTCCAAACAGGATTTGCAAAAAGCTCCTAAAGGATCACTGTAAAGTTAGTAAATACTTTAAAATAACAATTGTTATTCAGTCTAAGCAAGGGCAAAATAATGTACATTGGCTATAAAACTTCAGTTTCATATATATATTAATGAGATCTGAACTGGAGTAATCAAGCATGAAAATAGATTTTGCAGTCACAAGGGATAACTCAGTAAAAATATCGACCCATTGCATTTCCCGCCTCAAGAATTATAAACAAATATAAATGTCATGCTTGGAGTCACTAGTAAGTTCTATACAAAGAAATACATACGGAATAGATTTCTTTTTTCCACATAGAGAGAAGGTGTGCTAAAGGGACACATGAGGTAGATATATAAAATGATGTGTCAGGGGGAAAATGGGTATACTAGGGATGCATTTCCTTATCTTGCAGTTCATCCATTGAAGCCGAAAACCTGGAGCCTCGGTATCAGGGATCCCCAAAGAAGTCAATATTCCACCTCCAAGTTCAATTAGACTATCCACGAGGTCAATAGATGGTTGGGGTCAATAAGTGGTTGATAAAAATTAACGGTCAATTGGGATCAATTAATCTTTTGAGGTTTCTGTAGAACTCTATTCCAGTCTCTAGTCCTGAAAAAAGATGTAGTTGGCAGCAAGACGCATTCAGGGTTTGGATGATCAATTGCCAGTGAGAGCAGCCTTGAATTGTTTCTATCAACCATTTGTTGTTATTGGCCTCATTAACAGTACCCTTTGTGTTGTATAGCTGTGACCTTCCATCTTTCCTCTTCTCACTCTCATCTTCCCTGCCCCAGGAAAAATAAACCTATTCCTGTTCCTGTTCACTTCCTGCACTGAATATATTTCCTCATCTTAAACTCTGTTAGCGAGCCTATATATTCTCAACACCCAGAGCAATAGGAGAATAATAATAATATTATTACTTTGTGATACTATTAGTTAAAGTATTAGGATTTATTCAATTATTTCCTCATCTTAAACTCTGTTAGCAAGCCTATATATTCTCAACACCCAGAGCAATAGGAGAATAATAATAATAATAATAATAATAATAATAATAATAATAATAATAATAATAATAATAATAATAATACTTTGTAATACTATTAGTTAAAGTATTAGGATTTATTCAATTATTTTCATAACATAAATTCTTGGAGTCATATGAAACTTTATGAAGGGGTTGATGAAGTGAAGAGCTTGGTGATTCCTGCTCTGCACTGATTTTAAAATATATAGTTATTTATATCAGATAAAACTACACTATATATTTTTTTTGAAATAAGTGAACTAACAGCTTTTCTGATGTTTCAGGCAATTAACGAGGTCCAACTTTATCATTAAAATACATCAAGAAAGCTAAGTTTTGTAGTGTTTTAGCTATTTTAGATAATCCATATATGTTACCATTGTTTTATACAACATGATTGATAATTACAGCGGGCATAAGTGTCTATGGAGATTATCAATTATCCAAGTCATTATTGTCCCAAAGGTGCTTTTTTCAAGAGGTAACTGGACTTTCTGCTTTTTCTTTGAAGATGTTTCACTTCTTATCCAAGAAGCTTCTTCAGTTCTGAATTCCCACCATCCAGTCAGACCTGAAGAAGCTTCTCAGATGAGAAGCAAAACGTCTTCAAAGAAAAAGCAGAAAGTCCAGTTGCCTCTTGAAAAACCACCTTTGATACAGCAGGCATAGTGCATATAATATAACTGTTTCTATTGGTGTGACAAATACCACATTTCCAGATATTTTGTTTAAAACTGAGCTTTGAATACTGTTCCTTTACATACTGTAGCCTGCCAGATGTTGGTAATGACAGATATAAAACAATAAATACTGAATCTTGGGAGTACATATTTAGTTTGATGGATCAAAAGTGACTTTACTATTTGGTCAACTGTAATTATTTATGCTATTAACAAACTCAGGGACCATATTTATTTAGGATTTATATTTCTGTATATTTATTTACTCATTACCTGTTGGCTCCCCAAAGGATGTGTTGTGTTCCTGGTTCCACTAGAGATTTGATACCAGGAAACATCTTGCCTTGTTCAACAGAACTTCCTTTTGAGAAGATAAGCAGAGGAATCTATCTAGAAGTCACAGTGTATTTAGATTAGTGGAATGTAAGTGTTTCCTGCGTTGAACTGATTTTGCCTTAAGCAAGTAGACTCAGTCAGATTGTTTCTCAGGGGTGAGGATGGGGACTCACAAGACAAATGTCACAAGAGATTTCCCAACTTGGACCTGAAGCCTGAATATTCTTTTTATACTTTTTAAACATTGTTTGCTTTTCAAAGAAAGAATAATTGTGCTTGGAGACATGAGGCTTCTGTGAAAATCTCTGATGCATGTTCACTCTGTAGCAAGCATTACACTTTACAGGAAGAGGAAGGAGGGCTGTGAGCCTGGAGCAGTAATGGAATTGCAAGAGGTAGAAGAAAGGAAGTTTAAACACTAAATTCAATATTGGAAAGGAAGGAGAGGCAATGACATCACACATGTGGCTGTGCTAGGAGAGAGCAACAGAAGCAACCGATGGCTTACTAGGTTTTGAGAATTGCAGAATTTAAAAAGTTGGTTAAATAAATTTGAGGAAGCAAACTCCTACTTCTTACATAAACCTATCGTTTTAAATGGATTGTTTCTGTCTAGATATCAAATGTCATTATATATTTCTTGACCCCAACCTTCACCTCAATGATATCCTTATTCTTATTCATGGGGCAGAAGATAAAATTTGCAGAGAAATTCGAAGTTTGTAGGCAGCATCAGCCATCAGTATGACACTGGAATATTGAAATGTATGAAATGGAGTATGAAATATCTCCAGCTGTTGGATAATATACTCACAATTTTGCTTTTTTTATTTGTTTGCCTGCTTATTTTATTACTGTTTACTATTAATTGCATGCAGGAATAGTTGATATCCTGAAATGAACCAGCGTTTGATTTCCTGTGTCAAAACATAATACCATCCTCACAGTTTGGGGGAGCAAAAGGGGGGGCAGCTTTTAAGGACCTCTTTCTCTTTTACTGGGCAGACAAAGTGGTTTTGTTCTTTCTCTAAGGAAAATAAGGAAATAATCCTTATAATGTTATGAAATAATTTCTTTTTGAAAAATTGTCAGAATCTTTCCTTTTCTTCCTCTCTTCCTAGAGCAGGGCAGGACAATGGCTTTACTCTCAATCAGAAGTCTTGATTAGGAAAGGCATGTGTGTATTAGATCTGAAGGCAAAAAAAAAAAAGTGCTTTGGAGTTTTACAGGGACAGACAGAAAAATCATCTGCCGGCAGCTATGTATTTGCATCTTTTCATGAGACTGCAAGGCTGCTGGGGAAAAAAACTGTGTTTGGTTTCAAGCTTTGCACGTAGGTGTGATTGGGTATTTACATATATTCCAAAAACCATTTCACCTTAGATTCTGACACATAGCATGACCCTGTGTGTTAATAGTGCCATCTCATTAGACAATGTCATCATGAGGTGTGAATGAACTTCTATTTAGCTGGAGATCAACTGACTGTCTTTTATCTTCTTTTGTTAGAAAGGCTTAATAAAGTTCTTATGCAGTTTAAGAGATACACTTAAGAGACATTGACCTTTCCTTTCTAGAGATCCTAGAAGTAAAACAAATTTTGATTCCTGATGACTATCTGGGCAAACAAGTTTTCATGACAAGATTTCAGAAGAAGTGGTTTATCATTACCTGCTTTTTCAGCCTGAGAGAAAATGACCAGTCAATCAGCTGGCATAATGCCTAAGGCGGGACTAGAAATCTTTGTCCCCTGGTTTCCTGCCTGCTGCCTTAACCACTACAGAGGCTGGAGCCAAAATACCAGTGATGGAACTGAAGAAAAAATAGAGTATGATGTACCAAATATAAACCCTAATCTTGAAGCTGTGTGTCTTACAAGTATGACAGTTTGAAAAGGTTCTTGCAAACCAACCAACCAACCAACCAACCAAAAACTTATTTAGTCTCGTGATTTCGCAGCAGACTTAAGTTCAGAATGACATAGTTATAAAAATGTTTAACATGATACCGTGGTATTGTATTTGAGACAATATTAAATGCCACCTTTTTGGTTTTCCTTTCACAGCGAAACCCACAGTCATTGATGTTGACATCTATGTTAATAGCATTGGCCCTGTGTCATCAATAAATATGGTAAGTGTCACACAAACAATTACTTTATTGGCAGGGCTGCTTCTTGTATCAATAACCAAGTTCTTTAATTTTTCCTAAATGTGAGGTGAAATGTTATTGCTGCAGATGTCATTCTATTTTCTATGTTCTTGTTCTGTGTGCCTGACAAGTCTTTGTCCTTTTCCCAAAGGGCAAAAATAACGCTCAGCAAATAGCATGCTGTGATCTGTCTATCACAAAAGTATGAATATTCAGTGTATCTTCAAAAATACAAAATTGAAATAAAGCTATGGGCAGACTACAGGCGTTTGTTGTCCCTCAATGCAGCAAACTGGGAAATAATGCTGTTGTTAAGAAAAGACAATAAAAGCTAATAACACAACCCTCTGTATATTTGCTTGAAAATAGGTGCAGAGATATATACTTCTGGGTAATTGTGCTAAGCTTGTGAAGTTTTTTATGTGAAGTTTTAAGATTTTTTGCTTCTGAAAATCTTGGTTGCTATTCATTGGAAGTCTATTTGATGGTACAGAAAGAAGGCGGAGGAGGGCAATTAAGATGACAAAAAATCTGGAAGAAAAATCTCACAAGGAACAGTTGGAAATGTTGGGTACTTTTAGCCTGGCGAAAGAAAAATTGTGTGGGAAACATAACTATTTTCAAGTATTTGAAAGGCTGTCATAGAAGATAGGATGGCTATCTATCCTCATAATTCAATCTCTTATCACCAGCTGTTTTCTCTGAGGGATGAGGTCAGACTTCATAATGTAATGTTCAAGACTTTACTCAACTTAAGAATCAAAATTATTTTAGACTGTTTCCAAAACTCTGTTAAAGGATCCCCTTGATACAAAGTATTACATTAAAATAAAAATCCAGATATTACAATCTCTCTAAATTCTTTATAAAATTCCCCTGACAATACATCAGGACTAGAAGATTTTCTATTTTAAATAATATTAAAAACTTCAGAAATTTCTGAAATGTAAAAAAGAGAGTTCATATATTGAATATATTCTACATTCAGTTCTGGGAATGTTAAACTATTTAAAAATTAATTAATTTTTATTGATGATTGATTATTTGAAGAATATAATTGTTGAAAAAAGTTTAAATTGTTCATTTATACCTTTGGATTTGATCAAAATTTGACACTGCATTTTAAAATTACATTTATACATATTTTTCTTAGCTTTTTTCACTTTATTTGCCAATATTTTAGAATTTTTATTTACATATTCATAATACATTTACTTAGCAAGAATAACCTGGGAGATTTTTTTCTGTCTCCAAACCATTCAACTCTTTGTAAATAGTATCTGATCTAGTTCTATAATAGTTTGCTAATAAATTGTTAATTTCCAAATAAAGTTTACTTGCTTTTTCTGTTTGTTTTTTAAGCATGCTTATCTAATGCATCTACCCACCTCTTAATATTGTTTTTATAGTATCCCATCTTGCTATCCCAAAAGTGCTTTTCCAAAAGACGACAAGATTTTCTTGATTCCTCTCACCCCTTAAATTAATGTTGCTTCTCATCCAAGAAGCTTCTTCAGCTTCTTGGATGAGAAGACAAACATTTTCAAGGAAAGAAACCAAGAAAGTCCAGTTGCTTTTTGGAAAAGCACTTTTGAGATATTCTTAGAAATATTTTATTTGTATTACTTTCTTGAAAAAAAAATTCTCAAAGTTTGGATAAGTTGTTGTTTTCCTTCTTCATAGTACAGTACTATGGGATTGAGTAAATGGAACAATTTCTTCTAATTTAAGTATGATAATCACTGGAGTGTGATCTGATATAAGGATTGGTACAATTTTAATTTGTTGCAGGAAATTTGAGAAAGTTTTAGGTATCTAAATAAAGTGCAGTATGAGATTTATGTCTTTCTGAATAAAATACATGTGCTTTTGTTGCAGTGTTCACAAGTCCATATATCTATGTATCCATTTAAATTTAAGTCTCTTGTAATTTCCACTTTCAGGCTTTAATGTATCAATAGTAAAGTCTTTTCCTATTGTAAATGATCCAAATTACATTTTTTCCTATTCATACTTTTTTGGGAAATTGACCCAATTAGAAGACTTTTATGTATATGGTAGAGTTAATGCATTGTTATCTAGCTTAATATTAATTATATGTTAATAAAAGGAAATAATTGTATTTATTGTCATGATTCTATTTATTATTTTTAAAGGGAAACTCTGACTTGTGTTCCAAAGACCAGAAAAAGGGTTTATTCATGATGTAAGATAAAATAACTTTTGCTTTCATATATTCCCAAATGCAAAGGCTCTGAGTGAATTTTCTTACTGAAATCAGGCTGATGGATAAAAAAGGATTTTTTTCCTAGATATTTCAAACATCTAAAGCCCTTTGAAATATGTCTATCTTTTAGAGGTTTGGCAAGACTTGTTAATTCTTTGAGGCATTTGAGAAAATTAGTAAAAAATATCCTTTAGTTTTGTTTTCATTTATGTATTAATTTCCCTAGATTTTTAATTTTGTTTTTAAGGTTGTTTTATATATTGTTTTAATTTAAATTATATTAAACCACTTTGAAGCTTTAAAAGAGATTCTCTCGTACAGAAACATAATAAGTGCATTTTGTCCCTGAGTACTGATTTACTCAGAAACTGATTCACTTTTTTCCTCCCTGTGGGACGCTCATCCACGAATAAAGCTTAAAGAATTGCCAAGTGAATAACATTTGAATATATTTTATTGAATTAGAAACATACAAACATTTATGCTTTCAGAGCTTTGTGTACCAATAATATTGGCAGACTAACTAGAATATGCACATTTAGTGGTAGAAGGATAAACATACATGTACAGTTTTCCTTCCTTCCTTCCTTCCTTCCTTCCTTCCTTCCTTCCTTCCTTCCTTCCTTCCTTCCTTCCTTCCTTCCTTCCTTCCTTCCTTCCTTCCTTCCTTCCCCCAACTATTCTCCTGGCACTCAAGGCAGCCTACATACACATTCTTCTTCAGAGTTTCCCCATAATAATCTAGCAAAGTCAGCTGCCCAATCAGGATGCCCAATCAGCTTGACTGACCCAAAGTCATGCACAGAACTTCCATTGCTGAGGGCAGACACAAATCTGTCTGTTCCTAATATTAACCACTAGCTCAGGGGTCACCAACCTTTTGGACCTCAGGGACCACCAAACTAATAATTTTAAATTCCAGGGACCACTAACCAGTTCTGTGGGTGTGGCCTAATTTGTGGGTGTGGCTTGGTGGTCATGTGACTGGCTGGGCATGGCTTGTATGTAAATATTATAAATATTTATATAAATATTGAATTTTTTATAAAAAAGAGCAACTTTTACCCAAAATCAGGCAAAGCAGGCAAGCAGATTGAGTTGCTCACAGAATCATTCAGTGATCTATCTATCTACCATCGGCTAGCTCAGTCTGTCACATAAAATTTGCTTGCAAGCAAACTCATAAAATTTGCTAGCAAGCAAACTCACAAAATTAACTCACAACACACCATGTATGTAAATATTGATATATTTTTTTTATAAAAAAGAGCAACTTTTACCCAAAATCAGGCAATGCAGGCAGGCAGATTGAGTTGCTCACAGAATCATTCAGTGATCTATCTATCTGCCATCAGCTACCTGAGTCTGTCACATAAAATTTGCTTGCCATGAGTCTGCACTGAATAATAGAACCTTCAGTCTTAAGAGAGGTTCGGCTGTGCTTAAAAGCAGAGCCAAAGATTTAAAGATTAGCTAGAAAGCAAGAAATTCAATTATTTCCTGCTTCCCAGCACAGCAGAACAGCTGATGGTCGGAAAAAGGAAAAATAGCAATTTAGCAGGAAAGTGTGCCGGGTAAGGAGTGAGTGAGTGGTTTCCATTGCCATGTGGGCGGCGCAGCCTTGTGTTTCTGCACAGCCTGGATTAATTGCTTTGGGGGTTGTTCTGGGGGTGAGATTTCTCTGCAGCCCACCGAAATTTTCTTGCGGCCCACCGGTTGGTGACCGCTGCTCTAGCTCACATCTCTCTCAGGGTATTTCTGCCTTGGGGAGCGGATGAGAAGATTTTTGAAACTTTCCTTTCTCTGGCAAGTGCTTGTGACAGGACAGCAAGTGAACAAATAAAGTGTTGGCAGAAATAAATAGGCTTGCCTGTGGCTTCTGGGTAGGGAAAGAAAGACATCGGTTGGCAAGAAGACAATGAACAGGTGGATGCTGATGAAGAGACTGAGGGGAAGAAAGTGGTCACCAGCTGGTGAAAGCAAGTGAATAGGCAGGCAAACTGGTGAGAGAACATGAGCGATGGATCTACACTGACTGGCAACAGACTGGACACAGGTGCTTTTATTGATGGTATCTCATCTTTGTTTTCTTGAAAGGAGTTCTTAATATATTTTATCTCAGCATGGATGTCCATGGCTACTGATTACTCTTATTTCTCATTGGTATTTCCAGGTCTTTTTTTAAAATGCATTCTGCAAACCTTGTTTTTTTTTTAAAAAAAAATAATATAAATCTGCCTTTTGTTAGCTTATGTATTTATTTATTTGCTAGATTTATAGCTTGCCTTGTGCTCAGGCATTCAGTATGGTGTACATAGCACTCCAGTATCTCATTTTTCCTCACAACAGCCTCTGTCTCTCCAGTCTCTTTGCTTTGCAAGATGGGATTGAGGGAAAGCAATTTCTGTCAGCAATTTCTCCTTTGCCTGATCCTCCCCCACCCCCAAAGCACAGAGATTGTAGAGAGAGATATTTTATGAGAGCAAGCGGTTTGGTCTCCCACACCGTGAGAGCAATTCTAGTATGCCAGCAGTGTGAAAGGATCAAGCAAAGGAAAGATTGTCTATAGAAATTGCTTGCTTTTTTCCCTCTGCCCCCCTGCCCCCCTCAGGGAGAGATTGGGGACAAAAGAGAGTAAGCTGTTTGCTTAGCACACCTGCAGCTTCCACTCCCAGGTGCAGCACAATTGCCTAGTTTTCAAAGTGTACAAGACAGTGAGCAGGCACTCAGGAAGGGGGGCATTTGGGAGGCAAAC